CAGCACCCACCACCCGGCCCGCCCACGCCCCGCTGCTGTGGCTGGTTCCCAGATGCCCCCAGGTGCCCTGCTGGGAGGCTCCCGGTGCCTCTGGCACCTGCTCCTGCTCCTTTCATTAGGGGGACCACCTACCTCAGGTTCCCGGAGGGAGCCAGGCAGCTGGATGCCCGTCAGCCTGCGCCACTGATTCAATGAGGGCCGGGAGGTGCGGCCGCAGCCCAGCCGGGAAGGGAGGGAGGGAGCCCTGACTTCCTGAAGAGGGACAGGCCCAGGTGGCTGCCTTCTGATTGGCCCGGCCAGGCGCCCGGAGGCTGGGTCCAGGGAAGTGGAAGTGGCCTGGGCTCCGAGGAGAGCTGCTGGGGGCCCTCCCGCCCAGGAGGCCCGGCCTCCGCACTCTCCGGGGGCCGCTGCGGCCACACAGGCTACGGGGGCTTTCGGGCAGGAGGTGCCCTGTGCCCAGCACGTCCCCCTTCAGCAGCTGCAGGGGTCCAGCCGCCAGGGGCCTGAGGGGACTGGCCCCACTCCGGGCCCACACAGCCAGACCGGCACACCGTGCGTCACAGGGCTGCAGTGCGCTGTGCGAGGGCAGGGGCTGGGGAGGCCGCCAGCCAGCGCCGCAGCCAGCACACCCTCCCCTTCCCGAGCGCCCGCTTTCCACCAGGACCCACTGGGGTGTGACAGCCCTCCCCGTGGGCCGAGGGAGCCCAGGCCCCCACCTCGGGGCAGCTACACGGCCAAGCAGAGCTGCCGCTGGCCTGGTTGGTGACAGCTACAGGACAGGCCGGATGAGCAGGTTGGGTGCCTGCCCTGCTCGGACCCCGCCCCCCAGGTGCTGCCTTTCCGGCCGCTCCCTTCCGGGGAGCCTCATCCTCTGTCCCATGGCAGTCTGGTGTGGGGCTGACCTTGGGGGTCCTGGCACATCCGGGGGCTGCGAATCTGAGTGCGGTGGCAGGGCCCACCCGGAGGACACAGCCCGCTGTCACACCTGGAGAAGCAGCAGCCAAGGGTGCCCTGGGGCCCTTGGGGGAGTTGATCTGGGGGCTCACGCCCAAGGCGGGGTGCAGCAGGTCTCCCGAGGGAGGGAGTGGCTCCGCTCGGAACCGTGGCTGTCTGTGTGGGTCCCCCACCCTGTCTCCCTACTCTGTAAAAGGAGGCTGAGGGGGGCATTAAATGACAAGCATGTCTCACTCGCAGGCACTGAGCAGGGATTCGTGCGGAAAACAGCCGGGCGAAGCCTGTGTATTCGGAAAATTTATTTTTTAAAAAATGTGTATGTACTGATTTCAGAGAAGGGAGAGGAGGAGATAGGAACATCAACGATGAGAATCACTGATCGCTGCCTCCTGCACGGCCCACTGGGGATCGAGCCGCAACCACTGAGCCACCCAGCCGGGCTGGAATGTCACACGGACCCAAGAAGCCGTGGCACAGGGGGCCAGGAAACCAGGAACTAGTGAGGAGAGCGCAAAGCACCACCACGTCCACAGCCCCCGAGTGACGGCTGGCGGGAGGGCGGGAGCCTGGGGCCTGGACATGCCGACCCATCGCCCTGTCTCTGCCGGACACGGACAGGAAGTCGTGGCGGCGTGGCGCACGCCCACAGGATGAAGCGGCACCGGGAGCCTCAGTGCAGGCTGAGCCCGAGCCGGGGCCCCGGGGCAGGCGGAGCGGGAGCCACGGGACCGGCTCCTGCAGGGAATGCCGCACGAAGGAAGGATGCCCGTGGGCTGCTGGGCCGGCCGGTGCGGTCTGGACAGCAGGGGAAGTGGGTGCCCGGGTCCCTGAGGTGGCACCGAGGGCTGCCCGCCTCTGCTTCCCTGTTCCCACCGCAGAGGCCCAGCCTGCTGCTCCCAGCAGGTCCAGGAGGCGCCCAACCCTCCCCTCACCGCCCAGTATCTCAGAGACAGGAGCCTACGGCTGCTTTTTAATGAAAAAATAGAACATTTATTAATTCCCTCAAACATGCCACATGCACACAGGAGCAGCCGCGCCCCTGCCGCCAGCAGGGTTACTCGTGGCAGCGCCTCCCAGGCACCAGCCACTGTCTCCTGTGGCTGGCGGGGCGGGCAGG